ACCGACTCCACACGCTTAACAACAGCAACATGGTGTTTGAGCCCATTGTTACAGTCCCCTGCCAGTTCATCTCATTGAGGGACTTCCTCTTTGTAACTGACCCTCAACTTTACCAAGCATGATGCCTTTCTCCCTCATTGGATCTCTCTAAATGACCTGTTGTAATTAAGCAAGGTAAAGTCTCACCATCTTTGTCTCTTAAGGAACATTCGGTCTTTAGATTGTTCTTTTGTTTGTTTGTTTTGCAGTCCTTGGTGTATTTTGTATTCAGTATTCTTCACCAAAACCACAATTATAATGCATCAGTTCTTCCTTCAATCTTCCTTTTTCATTGTCCTGTTTTTGCATGCATGTGAGGCATATCTTAGTCTTCAGCATGGCATTTTTGCCTTTTAATACTTTAAAGAGATCTTTTGCTTCAAATTTGCTGTTTACATCTGGGCAGATTTCTCAATCACTTTTTTGTTTGTTTGTTTTTTGAGAATTGTTGTTATGTGCTGTCTAGTTGGTACCAACTCATAGTGACCCAGTCTATGCACAACAGAATGAAACACTGCCCGGTCCTGTGCCAACCTCACAATCGTTGCCATTCAGTGTTCTGTTCTATTCGAACAACTGCCTTTTGAGAATTAATGTAGGACTAATCTGGGGATAAAATTAAATCATTATGAAGCATTGTTACGAGTTATTTTTATCATTTTCTTTTCCCACAAACCCTGTTTTTCTCTTAGAAAATAATTGTTTACTTTATTTGCTATTTGCAAAACCATGTCGAACTAGTAATTTTCTGTTTCACTAATTTAAAAATATTTGTGATTTGATAATGAAAAAGAAGTGTGCTATTACATTTATTAATTTTGAAGAACTTCAGTAAATTATGTAAGTAGTATTGAGTTCTGCGATGAGTTGAATTTCTGACATGTATACAAATTTGAGTCTATTGCTGATCCTACTTATGTGTAGGAAAGTAAAGAAGATAGTTTGTAAGTACTTACTTAACATTATAGCTGCTAATGACTATTCCAGACATTCCTAGGTACTTTGTTGTTGTTGTTAAGTGCTGTGGAGTTGATGCTGACCCATAGTGACCCAATATAGGGTTTGCCGAGAGTAGCTGGTTAGCTTGAACTTCCACCTTGAGGTTTAAACAACTTTGCAGTCTGGCGCATTAACCCACAGCGCCACACCTAGGTACTTTAGGAACTATAAAATCATACTCAATTTTGATATTGGAAGTTTATACTTGATCAGGCATAAGCCTGGCATTTTTAAGTTAAACATTAACTTTTCAATAAGTTACGTTTTAATAAGTGTAGCTTTTATTTTTAGATAGGTGATAGATTTTAAGATTTATATATGTTTCTTTAAAAAAAATTCATTGTGGCTTTTCCAAAAACAAGTTACTTGCCTGCTAGTCAGTCAAACAATATAAACAAAACCTATTGCTGATGCATTGATGGCAACGCCACATGTATTACAGAGTAGAGCTGCTCTACAAGGGTTTTGTTTTTTTTAACTGTAATCTTTATGGAAACAGATTGCCAGGAGTTTGTTTCATAGTACCACTGGGTGGGTTTAAACCACCAGTCTTTAGGTTGGTTGTCAAGCATAAACTGTTAAATGTACTACCAGAGCAAAGTAAAAACTTGTTCTCCTTCTGTAAAATAAAGTAATTGCTGGATTGGGGAATATAGGTTAAGATGACTCTTTTAACCTTTTGGGCTTCAGAGAGGTTGAAATCCCATGGGACAGAGCTTTAAGATTCCTCATTCAGGACAGCTCCACTTGGATTTGCTTTACATATTGGGCTTCTTGTACTTAAGGTAAGATATTTTTCTTTTTTTAAAGTAGTATGTTATATATTAGCTTAGTGGTTATGAATCAGGCTGCAATCTGCAAAGTCAGTAGTTCGAAACTACCAACTCTTCTGCGGGAGAAAGATGAAGCTTTCTGCTCCCGTAAAGATTTACAGCCTCGAAAACCCTGTACAGGGTCACTGTGAGTCGGAACCGACTCCACGGCACATAACCATCAACCATATCTGAATTAAAAGTAAAGGTTGAAAACTGTTGGATTAGATACAATTTGGAGGCCTGGCGTGGTGCGTGCTGTGGGTTAATATGCTGGACTACAAAATTGCTTTGATCTACGAGGTTCGCTCTTTGGAAACCCAATACAGGGTAGCTATGGGTCGAAACTGATTGGATGGCACTTAACAAAAAGAAGATACAATTTAAAAGGCTTTGTGCATTTCTAAGCAATCCTGGTATGGTACTACAGGATAATGCACTGGACTGCAAACTCGGCAGTGAAAATGTACCACTGCTCCTCAGCAAACCTAGACAAGGTCACTATGAATCAAAATCTACTCTACTGTACTTACTTAACAACAACAATAATGCATTTCTAGGATTTCTGGTGTGGCACTGTAGTTAAGCATTAGGCTGCCTAACTGAAAAGTCAATGGTTTAAACCCATCACCTGGTCCTTGGAAACCCGATACCGGTTTGTTGTAAGTTATAACAGCTTTCATGGTACTTAAACAGCAGCATGTATTCTAAGGATCCCTGGTGGTGCAGTGGTTAAGCATTCTGTTGCTAACTAACTGCTCTGTGAGAAGAAGCACACAACTAACTGCTCTCTGAGAGGAGCAGTTCTACTAGGTTCCATAGTCACAATGAGTCAGAATTAACAGCAATGTGATTGTTTCTATAACTTTTATGAATTCAAATTCGATTTAGCATTTATTACGCTAAGAGCATTCATGCTAAGAGCACTGCTATTGAAAAAATTACCAGAGTAGAAATTGGTATTGTTTTCAAGGATTTGCAATATGCTATGGAAGCTTGAACAGCTTGTAACTGAATCAGCAGTTGTCTTTTTGACCTATCCCCAAGCCTGAACAAAATTGAACAGCATTTACACACTTGCGTTCTAAGTAGCCCATTTCGTTTCCAGAGTAGTAGTAGGTCCTCATTGTTTTCCCTCTCTGAAACCATTTTTACATACTGGCAACAGATTAATGATTTTTAAAAGTCTGTTCTGAACGGATTATTCCCTTGTTTAAACCCTTTCTTGTCTCTTACGTTTCTTGGATTAATAAGAACATGTAACCTGGTATTTTATGTTTTTGTGTTGTTCTCTTCTGTTACTCCAACCTTTCAGAAAGTAGTCTGTATTTTAGTTAGCTAGATTCTTCATTATATTTCTTTTTCTGTTTTATAACTTTACTCTGGACTTTATCTACTTATATAGAAGCAGAATTTATTAATCCTGTCCTGTCTTGTTTTCTAAACATGTCAAGAATCCTTCTATGAAACTCTTCTATGCCTTAGTATCTTTACATTTCTTTCAACTTGATTAGTTGGGGCCTTTACATTTTGTCGGTGACACTTTTTCTGTCTAATTTTTAAACTTCTACCTACTGATTTGAAGTCCTGGTGTGGCGCTGTGGGTTAATGCTCTGGACTGCAAAGTTGGTTTGAACTGCAAAGGTCGGTGATTCAAGCTTACCAGTCACTCCTCGGAAACCCTATACAGGGTCACTGTGGGTCAGAACCAAGTCGATGGCACTTAACAACAACAAAAACCTATTTTTAGCTTTCTCTTTCACATTTTTAGCCACTTTGGATAGGGCCTGGCACCCTGCCTCTGTATCTTTTATTAGGATACCAGTTAAATAAGATTAGGATCTATCCTACTTCAGTATGAGGACTCTTTATAAACAGAACTACAGTCCATAGTGTATGCATTAAGATGCCAACATAACTTTTCTTGAGAACCCAATTGATGTTAAGTGCCATCGAGTCGATTTGGACCCATAGTGACCCTGTATAGGGTTTCCAAGGAGCAACTGGTGAGCTTGAACCACCGACCTTGCAGTTCAAACGACTTTGCAGTCTGACGCTTTAGCCCACAGCACCACACCAGGAGTTTATTACAGATCTAAGCTCTGGTAGTGTAGTGGTTACGAATTGACCTGCAAGCCTTAAGGTCAGCAGTTCGAAACTACCAGCTGTTCCGCGGGAGAAAGATGAGGCTTTCTGCTCTCATGAAGATTTATAGCCTCGGAAACCCTGTACAGGGTCGCTATGAGTCGGAAGTGATTTTGTGGCACATAACAACAACAACATGCCTATCCTGTGTTTCTTTATCGGCAAGAGTGGCTAACAGTTATTAGATAATAAAGCTTCTTGTTTTATTCTGTTTGCATGAGGGTATATATGGAGTCCTGGTGTGGCACTGTGGCTTAGTGCATTAGAATGCAATGTTGGTTTGAACCACAAGGTCAGTGGTTCAAGCTCACCAGTCACTGCTCAGAAACCCTGTTCCAGGGTCACTGTGGGTCAGAACTGAGTCCACAGCATTTAAACAACAGCAACAAATACTGTATTTTTTTTAAAAAAATAAGGAAAACCCAATGATTTATTTTTTATGGTAAGTAAAAACCAACTGAGGTGAATGGGGAAAATAAATGTTATAGATAAGGGCAAGCACTCCACTCATCCCTCTCCAAAAACTTGAGCTTTAACATCTCAGCTCATATTCATATTGCTGGCAACTATTTTCAATGTAGAACTCTCTCCATCCACGTGGAAGACCCACGTTCCATTCCTGGCTAGTTCACCTGATGCACAGTCACCACCACCTGTCTGTCCACTTGTCTGTCAGTGGAAGCATGCTTGTTGCTTTGAAGCCAAACAGGTTTCAGCAAAACTTCTAAACTCACAGAGACTAGGAAGAAAGATTTAGAGATTTACTTCCAAAAATCAGCCAGTGAAAACCCTATGGGTTGTAACAGTCGATCACAGATGAACATGGGGATGGCACAGGACTGACAGTGTCTTGTTCAATTGTACAGGGAGTTCAGCTGTCAACAACAACAACATTCTGACTTACTGAGATTTAATTACACTGTAGTTTGGTAATTTGAATGTGTTCATAAACCTTTTAAAGGTCTGTTTTATAATATTTTTATGATTTCTTTTTACAATCTGTAGAAAAAGCAACCAGTGAGATGAATACTGCTGAAGACTGGGGCCTCATTTTGGACATTTGTGATAAAGTTGGTCAGTCTCGCACTGGGTAAGTGTTTCCATTTAAAAGGATTTTTAATTTATTCTTCCTTTTGATAGCTATGAAGATGACAAAGACAAGGTAGATCATGCATATTAAAGTTGAAATTTAGTTTAAAAAGAGAATTTTTTTGCTAGAAAGAGTTGAAGAATCATGCCACTTAGGTTATTCCTTTAGGGTAGCATAACTGGTAAAAACATTGTTTTCTTAATTACTCAGCCTTGTCCATATTTACTTTCTGAAATCTGGCTTTTTTCACTCATTTTAAAGTCATTAGTGATTTCTTAGTTACCAAATTTCATGGTTATTTTTGAGATTTTTTTTTTCTTTTCATCTCATCTCTTTCATTCACCCAAATTATGAGTACTATTGAAAGAGGGACAGATTAGGGAAAGTCTGGAACTTTTTGGCTTACATGAGGGAGTTTCAGAAATTTGTGGGGAAATTCCCTTATGTTTTAAGTCCATTTTTCCATGAACTTCCTGATGACCCCTCATGTTACAATACTTTCAAAACATTTTCATGATTGTGTTAACTGGTATATAGATGAAGGATTTGCTTGTCCTGGGATGGTAATGTCCAGTGATTCACAGCTCTGTTTACTCTGTCTTACCATTTAAATATTATTGTTTTGATTGAGTTTGTTCATGTTGAAAAGGTGAGGGACCACTGCTATATTACATTTAATCTGGTAGTAATCTTTTCTTTTTAATGTTTTATTGTGAATTATATGGCAGCTTACATGAGAGAACTTTAGTTTTACATTCATTCTATTGTATGTCATCTCATTGCCATGGTTCCAGTCATCAACCAACCAAAGGGTATATCCTAGAAGCCCGCCTCCTACACTTCCTCCACCCCACCTCCCCCCCCTTGTTTTCAGCCCACAGTCCCTTTCCCTCTCTGGATCCAAAGTCCCCAGCGGCTTCATTATCGTCTCTGTCTCCATCTCAGGCATCTCTGTTTCTCTGGGTAGGGTCCCGCTCTCGGCTCTTCTCCGTTGATGGTCCCAGAGACCTCCGCTCCTAGCCTGGAGAATTAATCACTCCCTTCCTTGTTCCAAAACATCTACCTTTGCATTTCCAACCTTATCTGGTAGTAATCTTAACACTTTAATGGATACTACTTTAGCTCTTCCTCCTGCCCCTCCTTTTACATTTCTGGGTGGGCACGGGTGAGGTCAGTGGGTGAATAGCCAGTGGCAAGTATTGTTTAAGGTCAGTGGTAGAGGCGAGACAGTGTCTGGTCCTTATGGCCTTGGAGGAAGCTCTGGATTGTCGATTATCATGGAGGCAGATGTGAGCGGGGCCATCCAGCAAGAACCAGGGGTGCTCAGGCAAGAGACTGACCAGGGGACCAGTGGGCAGTGTGCTCCCTCCCTCTCATACCTAGGCACAGGGAGTCCTCTATTTCTAACACAACCACTAAGGGTATTTTTAGGTCATTGAGGAGATGAATCAGTGTGTCACCCATCCTGAAAATTTGGTGAGCACAGGAGAGGGACAGGACTGGTGTGTAGACCACATTGGCTCTGGAAGATGATGATGATGGCACATGACCTCAATAGGGACCCTGTGGGACATGCATAGTACAGGTGAGGGAGTGAGGTGATAAAATCAGATTCCACTTTTGCATAGCCCTGATTTTATCTAACACCTTGGTTTTAGAAACTTAACCACATTAATAAGTGAAAAGTGGGAATGTTTTTTATGTACTTCTCTCTTACATATCATTCTTTTCAATAATATGAGTTGTCATTGCTTTTCTTAATGCATTTGGTCATTGTATTCCTTCAGCATGGAATGCTTTCCTCTCCCATCTTCTATGTGTTTTATAAAAGTCTGACAGAGCCCCTATACAGATCACTTCTTCCACAAAGATTTTAATAATATGATTCTCTGAATCCTGAAAATGTTCTATCAAAACCTTTCTTAATTCATGTTCTGTCATGTATTATAGTAGTTTATATTTTATAAACTTTGATTTGATAGTCCCATAAATTTTTGTTCTATTGAGGAAGGAAGTACATAGCTTAGTGACTGAGAACATTAACTCAGGAGTGACAGACTACTGGGGTTTCAGTCCTCTACTGCCATTTAGCTCTGTCACATTGGGAAATTACGTAACTCTCTGGCCCTTAGTTTCCTAGTTTGCTACGTAAGAATAAAAACAGTATCTACTTCATAAGTGGGGTTGCTATGCTATATATAGATATAGTATTTAAAACAGTACCTGGCACACGGTTAAATATTAAATGGCTGCTACTCTGCCTGTTTTTGATTCAGGTCATATTTTTGTAATAGTTTGTCTGATGAAGACTGAATATCGACTCAGATTCATCTTTGTATGTTTTAGAGATGAAATATTTTTATCTAGAATTCTTTCAACTTTGTTGACTTTTGTTTTTTAAGTTCTTTTAAGTTTTTATTGTGAATTGAGTGTAAGTTTTCATGGGAGAATATCAGTTTTACACTCATCGTTTCATTGCAATGATTACAATCTCTGTGCATCATCTTTCAACAGTAGTTTCTTCTGTTCCCTCTGTGTGTTGCTTTTTTTTTTGGAGGGCGTGGGGGCATGGACACAAAAACACTCAGGTATATATAATGATTTAAACAACCAAAGGGCACATCTGCAAGCCTACCTCCTGGCAGCCAGCACACAGCCTTTCTCTTTCCATGAGTCTAGAGTCCTCAGCTGCTCCATCTCTCCATGCCCTCATCTCTGCCTCCCTCTTTGGTGTCACTGTTTCTCTGGATAGGATAGGGTCCCACATTCCGCTCCAGCTCTTCTCCTTGATGGTGCTAGGGTTCTCTGTTTCTGGATTGTAAGATGAGCTACTCCTCCCTTTTTGTTACAAAACTTCTGTCTTTACAGTTGTGACATGTTGATTTTCTTTTTAGCTTTACTTGAGTATTCTTCATTTTATAGACACTTACCCATGATTGTTATGAACTCTAAGCTTGAATTAATGGAATGTTCTGTTTTTTCCCTGGTTAAAAAATAGATGTACAACCCATTTGGAATTTTCTATGATGCATAATGAAGGTGGTGTAAAGATCAGCTTGTTTATCTTTATGTTAATATTACTATACCAGAAGCATGTATTTTGTCCTCAAATATTAACAGCTTATTAATCTGTAGCTTTAACAATAATTTTTTATTTGGTGTTTTTTTAAATCTAGTGTCAGTAGGCTTAGGTATGCTGATTTACTACTAAAATTGTTTCTTATTATTTGAGTTATCTTTTGGGAATATTATATGACATACTAAATTTATAAATTTTCTTATGTGATGTTTTCATTTTTATTGAATGAAGTAATGAGGGCTTGGCTGTATTTCTGTAATTGTTCTTTTTATTAGTGCATTTTCCCTATCTCCCTCATTTTCTCCTTCCTTTCTGTAACAGTTACTATTCTATCCAAACCCACTGTCATTGACTCGAATCCGACTCATAATGTTACTATACACGGCTTCTGAGATTATAAATCTTTGCAGGAGCACAAAGTTTCACGTTTCTCATATGAAGTTGCTGGTGAGTTGGAACTACTGACCTTGCGGTTAGCAGTCCAGTGCTTATCCTACCGCTCCATGGTTATTTTAAATTCTCATTACGTTAATTACAAATTATTTATCTGTTTATGTAAATAGGATTACTCTTTGCAGCTTGTGTTGGTTGAAAACAAAACAAAACAAAGCATTCAAAGCAGACCTACAGAACTGCCCTGTAGAATTTCTTAGGCTATGATCTTTACGGAAGCAGATGGCCTTGTGTTGTCCCGTGAAGTAGCTTGTGGGTTCGAACCGATGTTTTCTTGGTTAACCACTGTGCAACCAGGGTTCTTACTTTCGTCAATAGAGTTGTTTAAAAGACTTAAGTAATAACCAGGATACTATTCTAAATTTTATATTTTAAGAAACTCTCTAAAGTCTTTAGCATTTACTCATGTATGTAATTTCTCTTTAAAATCAATGTCATCAATAACAAATTGTGTTTTTACATTCTTGTTGTGTACTTTGATAGCTCATAATAGGAAATGATAAAAATGGAAATCATATTATGAATCAGGGTCATATTATGATTTCTGTGTATCCTAAGTGCTTTTGCCTTCACAGGCCCCGTCCTCCATTAAAAAAAAAATATTTAATGACTTGTTATAAAGACAAATATTACATTACGTATTAGAACATTTTCGTTTTTTCCTCTTTAAAACTTGAGACTATTTTCCAAACTACTAGAAGTTCATTTTTTCTTATTGTAAAAGAAGTTAAAGCATTTCTGTGGGCCCCTTAAATTATTATGAACTCTAAGCACTGTTAGTATAACTGTGCCTTCTGGATAAGCATTACAGAGTTGGGTTGTATCTCAGACCAAGTTAGTAATAAATTTTTAAGCTTCATTTCAGTTGAGCAATAAACTATAGGTTACTGAATAGAATACTTAGTATGTCATTTTTAAAAAGGTAAACACAATTACTTTATAGGGAGAATTTAGGGAGATTTGTTTAATGTTAGCTGGGATTCTGATGGTAGGGTAAGAATATTTAGCAATATTGTAGCTTCTTGGTAAAGTATTCTAAGCACCTGACGTGCATTGGAGAACACTGAGATGAGACATGTAAATGAAGTGAGAAGAATAAAAGAGACAAGTTTTCCTAAGACAGATCCAGGATAAAGTAGGTTGAAGAGAAGGTGGTGGTGATGGTGTGACACCCGAGTTGGTTCCAACTCGTAACAATCCTGAATAGGGTTTCTGAGGCTGTAAATCTTTATGGGCAGAAAGCGACTGGTAGATTTGAACTACTGACCTTGCAGTTAGCAGCCCCGCTTATAATCTACTACACAACCAAGGCTCCTTATAGGGAATGGAGCAGATTGAAATACAGCTCATAGGTGTTTTGTATTCTAGCCAACAGTCTTAAGTTACTCAAAAACTGTTATGCTGTGTGTAGGTGTGAAATTTTATGAATTGTAGAGATCTCTTTTAAGAGGACAGATTCTGGATGATTATAGAAAACTTCAGGAAAAGCTGTTCACTTTCAGGAAGATGTGAATATCTGTAGTTAAATTTAAATGATTTA